CCCCCTGCCGGCACGGGACCCGCAGCGGCGCCTGCACCCCGCTGCGGTGCGCGGGGTGCCCTTTGCCTGAACCACTTGTGCTCCTTTGCTCGGAGAAACGCAGGAGAGGACCAGGACCCTGGTCTCGCCGGCCCCAGTTACCGCTTCACAGAGTACAGTGCCGGCAGCAGCGCTGGCCGGTTCGTCATCGCACCCTGCTCGCTGCGAAGCCAAGGGAGGGAGGCTGCTGGCGCTGGGGGCGAGCTACGAGCTCGTGAGTGAAAGGTAGAAGTATTGGAGGTAATAGTTGTCTTGGATGCAATTTAAGACCCTGCTCAGCCATCTGTGAAATCATACAGTATAGCTAACCCCGTATTCCTGGAGACGGGCGAGGAAATGGATGGGTTACTCCGAGCCCCCCACGGAGAACTGCATTTTTCTTTCTGACACCAGCCTGCGCAGCACGGCTGGAGATCTGCAGCACGTCAGGGCCGGGCCCAGGAGAGGCCCCTGGACACGCAGCAGGTCCCAGGACCTGCTGACGGGGCCAGCAGCGCTGCCAGCTCCGCCACGACTGGGAGACGCGCTGGCACTGCCGCCAGCCCTGCTGCTGCCACGGGACCCAAGAGGTAACGCTGGCCGATCATCTCCTTCCCCACCCCTGCCCCACGCTCACGCTGTACCTGCGCAGGAGCAGTTTGGGGTGGTTCTTGTTTTCCAGGTTCTTCTCGATTAGGTCGGAGAGCAGATGCTTCAGCACGTCGGTGGCGTACTCCAGCTTGCCTTGCAGGCCCGTCATGATGAGGGAGGCCACGTTGCCACGGTCGCGCATGGAGAAGCTGCGCTGCAGCTCCAGCGTTCGGATGAACGTCAGCAGAAACACTTTGTTGTTGATCAGCTGCGCAAAGAGCTTCAAGGCCTTCTCCACGTTCTGCTGCCCGTTCCCTTGGACCTGCAGCGGACGAGAGCGTGCCCCATCAGCCAAGGGAACCAGAGGACAAGGGACCAGACCTGCGGACACCACAGAGTCCTCCGCTTCCTCATTTTGGCCAGCCCCGCGACCAACAAACAGCAGGACAACTGCAATGCTCAAGCCTTTTCATTTCAGACCAAGGCACCAGGAACTACCATGTTCCCCAGGAAAAGGGTAGGGGAGACTGGGGCACCGCCAGCATCCTGCAGCCCTGCACCAGCAGTGCGCTCCCTGGGCAGGAACGGCCGGCTGATCTCGGGGGAGCGCAGGCAAGCGCCGCTCCGCACCCCGCTGAGACACGCCTCCAGGACTGCAGAGCTGGTCCTTGCTTCAGCCCTGGGGACACCAGCAAGCACCAGGCCTCCCAGGGGCTCCTCAGCCCAAAACGCGCTCTCGAGCTGCGGCCAGTCTTGAACAAACATCACGCTTTTTGTACTCTTTAAGCATTTCCAGCACAACTTGCCTCAATCATTGCTCTGCACTGGACCCCCTGCATGTCATAAAGCTGTTGCTTTGAGGCTAACAGCCCTATAAATGACATACAATTTTGCTTGTTCTGCATAAAGAGTGACACTCCTATAAGTAAATTAAATACTAATTTAGACTATTGCTTTATTATGAGACGAGTGTAAAAAATTAATTGAGGCTTTCAGCCAGTCCCAGATTCGAGTAATTCATTATGAGTGAAAATGATGAACTACATTAAGCAACTCTTTAACAAACATCTTGGAGACTTATGTATTGGTTTTACTAATGTTACATAATTAAGCAACTGTGTAATTGGCAACACATTTATCACTTCTGCAGTTCTGTTTTTCACGGGTAAAACAAATAAAAAGCATTCATATTTGTTTGTTAGAGGGTCAGCTTATTTGGCAATTTAAACAGTGAACATGATGTGGGGAACTGGAAAACTCAGGGCCTGGGAATGCAGCTGGGAGAGGCTGGTTCGAGGACAGCTGGCACGAGTTTCACCAACACCACGACAACTGCTCAGTGTTGGCGGCCTGTTGGAAAAGAATCTAATTCAATGCATTAACACTACCTAGCACTTGTGTTAGGACAATGACCACTTCTGATCCTTCAGTAAAGCCTTTATCTTCAGAAGAAACTTGATGGAACTAATTTATAGGGACTCCCTTAATTCACCACCTAAAAGAAGCTGCATCCGGGTGAAGCACAGGGATTCTTATGCACATACCGGGGAAAAAATAAGAGGCAAATTAAAATGCTTGCTTACAGCAAACCTAGCAGCAGGCCATGCCTAGGCAAAGCACTTGCCCTCCTGTGGACACGCCATGAAATAGCAGCAGCAGGATGCTCCCGCACGGTGCACAGGTTTTCCCTATGCCGTAAGGCGACTAAAGAGGACTTTAAAAGGACATCGCTAACTTATGTGGTATGCTTTGCTGCTGGTCTATAGCAATATAAAAAAACCAATAAAACTAAAACAGCAGCAGCGTGGAAGAAGCCAAGAGGAAGCAAGCAGCGCGCTACGAAGATAAAACACCAGGCTCTTTGTTCAAATGAACTCTGGGCTCATTTTGCTAACCCCAGCGCTTCTAATAAGACTCAGCGTGAAGGGCATAAAGGTGCTTCCCCGCTGCGTGGGTTTCATTCAGGTTTCCCAGAGGGGCCAGCAACAGTCCGAGGCACCCCAGGGAAGGAGCCACGTGCGTTGGATGGGGGAGGCATTTACCCAGTCTGTTCATTACCTCCAGCTCCCGTAGGACGGGATGGTCCTCAATGCCTGGGAAAAGCACCCTCATTGCATAAGTCCGATAGTCAAGGTACGGGATCCCTGAACGATCCAGGTCGCTGGTCAGTTCATTGATATCTGTCTGCAGCTCTGCAAAAGCTGTTCAGGAAGAAAAGAACAAGAAAGAGAAATGCAATCAAATGTGAGCTCAAGAAACTCAGCTGCAGGGCAGGGGCTCCGGGAACGGCTAGCTGCCTGCTCTTCTTGGAGGCACATCAACAAAAGTAAATGGACCGGCACAGGAAACTGCTTTAGTGAAGATCTTGCCACGTAGCTTAGATGGACCTCCATGCTTGGAGACCCTTTCACAGCAGCCGAGAGTGAGCAAGCGAGCAGGCGCTGCAAAGAACAGATGCTGAGAACAAAAGATGCTTATTAATTTGTATGCAGTTCACACCTGTGTATACACACCTAAAACACCTTTAAAGGCTGCAGATAGAAATGAGGATCTATTTTCATAATTGGTGCCGCCCATATTTTCCTTTCTTTTTCTTCTCTATCTACAGTAGCCAAACTAATCAAATGGGATGCTTCTGTGCAGAAACGGCCTGCTGCAAGGGTGAGGAAGGAGTTTATTCTTCCTTTTCTAACATAACATCAACAGGGATATTACAGCTGTATCTGTGTGCGCTTGTGTTTCTTCTCTAAAACCATAAAACGTTAGCTTCAGTAAGGACTCCGTGTCCCCAGCCAGGTTGTGCCCATACATAAGTTGTGGTCTCTCCTGAATAGGTCTCATTTTTTGCCTTACACTTTCAAGGATATCCTTTTAAAAGCAGCTGCATAAACTCAATGCAACTATCCATATATACAGAGGTCACACTACGAAATTTGCAGCTCTCTATTTACTTTTCTTTGACTCACTAAGCTCCCTTCCAGCTCCATAAGACATTCCCTAGGATGCATAAAACAACAACAACACAACCCTCCTCTGAACGCTCTCTGTCCCAGCTTACCAGCTGCAGAAATTACGGTTCGCCTCCCATCTTTGCTTCCCTGCAGAGAGGCTGAGCTCACTCGCCTGGTTGCTAGGGACAAGCCTTGTGCATGTTGAGATCTGCAGGCGACAGTCCTAAGTAGTTACAATAACACACAAGCTACCTCAGAAGATCTGCTCTTGTTAGCCCTGTGGGTATAGCTGGGGAGAGCTTACTTTTTTCATAGGCATACTGCCAAAAGAGAAATGTTTCGATTTACAGTGCAGGTCTTCATCTGGAGAGCAACCACTCAGTTGGACTCGGTCTCGCTGCTGTAAAAGGTTCAGTTCGGAAGACAGCGTACATCCCGCGTGCCTGCTCACCCCCCTCGCAGCCTCTCCCGCGCACCCGGGAAACGCACACCTCTCTCATGCTGACCTACACCCTGACCTATGCTCTCTCGGCACGTGGCGTCCAGCATGCCAGCGCTGCACCTAAGTGTCTCTACGTGCGAATGAGCGGGCATGGGACGGCACATGGAGAGGTGAACGTGTTTGTGCAGGCATTTTCCAGGGTGCTTATCACGGCCTCGTCTCTCGCAGAGCCGTTGCACCGACGCAGCGGCCATAACCCAGGGATTGCCCTGCGGGGACGTGCTCTGGGGCTGACCCGCGGCGGGGTTTGCTGCTGCCGGTTAAAGCCAGGGGAACGCCCCAGGGAAGCTCCGCTGGGCAGATGGGGCTGCTACACGGAAGAACATGTGCCTGAACACGTGTCCTGCCCGAACGATCTTGTGATGCAACCGCTATGAGACCATGGAAGGAGCACAGGGCCCCAGCACACAGGGAGCACGTGGTCCTACGGCTGCACCGCAGGAAACGGGGGCGAACGCTGCAGCACGTGAGGAAGCACAGTCCCCCCGTGGCAGCCTCAGCACACCTGCTCCCGCCCCCCCAAACGCGCAGAAGTGCTCTGGCACTGACCCTCCTTGCACTCCAGGGCCACCCGCGACTCCAGGTTGTCCATCTGCATCTGGAGCCTCTTGAGGGTGAGGTCATTCTCGCGGGACTTGCGCTTGTAGGCGATGAGCACGATGATGACGATGATGAGGAGCAGGCTGCCTCCAGCTGCGATGCTGACAATGGCCGGCAGGGTCAGCAGGCTGTCCGAGACGACGCTCACTGAACCAGGGGAGAAGATGATGCCACCAACGCGCACCTACCAAACACAAGGGCAGGTGAAAAGCAGCCCCTGGCGAGGGGGTGAACCCGTCCCAAAGCCCCCTTCTTTGCAGGTTAGGGCAAGCACCCCGCGTGCTGTGCAGATGCCTCGGGAAGACGCAGCAAGCCTCAGCCATGACTACAGCAACACTGACCGTCTTCAAAAAACACAGGGCACAGCTTACGTGAGTGCAGAGAGGCTTCAAGTCATGACAAATGTGTCAGCCCTTCGCTATCTGGGCTTTGTTCTTATTATCTGATGGCTCCATTTGACTTCCATTTTATAAGCTTTCAACTCCCTTTTGTAAACTGTGGACATTAGCAACCTGGTGACAATTTCACTGACAGGAAACAGTCTTTTCACAGAGAAAGGAGGAGAAGGGAAGGACAAGCTTTATAGGGAGGTTACAGAACAAACAGGCTGGAGGTTAACAGCAGCACAGGGTCTGCGTGCATGGGCCCAGGCTGCAGATGCAAGCGGCTATCAGCCAGGTTGCTCTTACGTGAATCATACTGCGATGAATCAAATACGTTTTGGATGCTGAATTTAAAGAGAAATAAAGCACAAATACAATCTCATTTGGGCTCTACTGAAGCACTTTAGCAACTGCCTGCTTGGCCTGCGACTAGACCAGAGGAAAGCAACAAAAATCAAAGCAAAGGGAGACACAGGGACCATCGTCCTCGATGAGGCTGCTGCTCAAATCAAACCAAGGTTCAGGTGTCCCTGGCTACTTTTGCTTCAGAAAAAGGCAAAACCTTCTTTGTATCCACTCAGCAAATTGTGTCTGGCTATAAGGACAGCTAAAATCCCTTTCTCCTGTACAGGAGGGGGAATACAGCATACTGCAAATTGTCTCACCCATTAGTGCAGAAAGAATCAGCAACGCCAAATAAAAGATGGTATCTGGTGCTGAAGTCACCGCCATAAATATTTGTTCTTTCTGGAAGGGCCTGGCAGTAGCTGGTGAGTCTCCAAGGAGGTAATAAGAACTTTCTCCAGGCTAATCAATGCTTTAAACTTCCAGTCAGACAACCATAAAGATCTAAAACCCTACCTATCCTCAGACAAGAAACGGCACACACATATCTCAGGGAGAGATGGAGAAGGAGGGAGGGAAGGCGGAAAGGAGGGAAGCGGCGTAGACAGGCGCTGTACGACCCCTCACCATCACTTTGTGCTGGCCGGTGAGATTCGGGGGCTCACAAAGCAGCTGGGTCTCCGACACTGTGACGGCGCAGGGCGTTTCGCCGATCAGGACGGTATAGTTCAGCTTTGCTCCTCCCGGAGCGGGTGGGCACAGATTTTTGCCCTAGTAACAGAGGTAGAGAAGACTGTACAAAGATGCAGCATATTTCTCTGATTTTCATTCTCATTCACAGCTTGTGCAAAAGGACCTCTTCCTAGTGCCCCCCCTTCCCCCCCCCCGCCAAGCAGCGGTTTAAAGATTCTCCATCACACATTGCTTTCTGGATCTCCCTAAACCGAAGATCTGGTTCTTCCTGGAGCTATGATTTTTGCATGGCCACTGCAAGTGGAGCTTTAAAAGCTTTGCTGACAGTAACTGTAGATACAGTAGGTAACTACAGAGTACTGGATGTGATTTTTATCTTACACAGCTATACTGGTAAAAGCTGTAGGCTATACACAGTTATACGGATATAAAGCAGTAAAGCCTGTTTTGTTCTGCTGAACTCGGATCAGCTGCTGATAACGATCGCTCGTGTGCTAAACTGCAGCACGCCGGAGGGCTTTTGCCCCTCACGCTGCTGCGTAAAGGTGTCCTTACCTTGAGGATGATGGGCGATCCGGGTTTCTGCTCCAGCACCCCCGTAGGGCTCAGGAGTTCAAACGTTGGGTTTGGGTAGTATATAAATTTCGTGTCATTATAGACCAGCAGAGCCTGCACGTTGTTAAAGATAAACCCAAACTCGTCCGGGCGCTCGACGGCATCCAGGCCGGGCCGGTATTCGGGGGTGAGCGCGGGTGCCAGGCACGTCAGGGCGGTGGCGTTCACCACCTTGCAGACCTGCGGGGGAAGGTGGCAGTTGGACAGGCACCGTGTAGGACGGGCTGGGACATGAACTGCCGGCTGGGGAGCTGCACTCGGGAGCAGGAGCGCCGCAGCCGCGTTTAGCTACCCTTCTCCGAGCGCTGCAGGGGGAGGAGCAGCCTAAACAAACACTTTTTGCGCTCCAAAGCGTAACAACAATCCTCATGCACTGTGTGCCAGGTCGAGATCTGGCACATCATGCCTGAACGCTGCCCCAGCATCCAGACACACGTGCTGCATTTTCCCTTCCAAATCAGCTTTGATTTAGCATCCTGCCTTTGAGCTGCACTACGAAGTGGCCAAGGCACCGATGAAGCTGGGGTCCTGACCCATTCGCGTTTTGAGGACAGTTTTTAGAAATTACAGAGAAGGGGCAGGGAAAAACTTATCCCAATGTGCTGTTAAATTCTGGCTTGGACAATGATGTTCCAGTTCCTTAAATGCTCCCTGAAGAGTCCAGTGGACTGGTGTTTATCTGGAAATAATTAATCCAAGCTTGAACCACTACACTCATAGTTTGGGAAAACGTGCTTCCTCTCCAGCCAGTACAAAAGCTCTGGAGAAGAGGTGGAGGTAGAGCTTCAAAATGAAAAGTGTTTTAAAGAAGCTGAAGGATTGCATACCAGGTCACTTAGCCTTTTTTTTCTTATTTTTCTTTCCAGCTGCATTCTCTTGGGCAATGCTAGCTTTGAAATAGACCTATAATGAATATCTGGTCTCTGCTACAAATTGGTGATTAGAGGCAATTCTCTAATACCAGTGAGAAAGAGGAACGATCATCTGACAGTCAAGGACGGGAGGTAGCACGAAGGTCATCTCCTGCTGGGCTGAGGATATCCACAGCTCCTCTAGTCCCTGGAAGCAGGGAGCTTGCTGATTTATTAGACTCTTGACTTATAATGCAGCAAGAGACCAACCGTTTGGCCTCCCTCCATAAGTGGAAGATATAATTTCACTCAATTTTGTGTCTTCGGAATTATTTTTGTAACGCTGTAACTGCTCACATCAAAATTATATATCTTTTTAAAAAAAGCTCAGTTGAAAAGTTTCAGAGGAAAAGGGAGAAAGGGAATAGGAAAAAGACTGCTAAGTGATTTGCCCTTTCCAAGATAATATAGACTTAGTCAGTAAGTTCACTGCACAGAAACAGTATTTTTCAGTTTACCTGGTCAAAATAAATTCCAGGTAAAGTGGAGGTACAATTCTGATTTGCGACGTACAAGAACATCACTTGGTTCTGCTTAAGCAAAGATTCATTTCAGTTTCCTACTCTTGGACTGGAAAAATACAAATTCCCACAGATGGAGGAAGGAGCTGGCATTGCACTGGGACTCAAAGTGTAAGAGCAACCCACAGGTTTGCTACCAACTCCTTGTTTGAGGACCATGAAGGTGACCGCAGCTGTATGTCTCTCAGTGAGGAAGGTGCTTAGCAGGGAGGCAGCACCTTGCCTTGCTGCTGCGAGCGAGCTGCAAGAGCAAAAGTGGCCTTGAATGCTGCTGCTTCTGAAGTGGTTCCCATCTCTCCTCCTTCCCTCCCCCAGACTGGTAGGCGATTGCCATCCCAGAGCTGCTGCAATGGGTTTATTTATAGACAGGCAGCTAAAGAGGGACTACTAAAACATAGCAGCCTCCTAACTGGCAGCGTCTTAATGCCTAGCTCTGGGCTTTTACAAAAAGAGCAGGACTAAAATGGGAACTGTAAAGCAGCTGGCAATGATGGGGACAGACAGACAGACACTTCGGTCTTTCCGTCCCCTTCCAGCCCGCTGAGTAGAGCTAGGCGCCAGGGAGGGGGACATCCTCAGGAGACAGAGCGCGCTCAGCTGGAACGGGCTCAGGGGCTCTGACAAAGGGAATTGCAAGAGCAAATCAAATTCATATGACTCAAGGGCCAGATCGGGGAGAATATGAGGGGATGGACACAACCTAAAGTGGACTTTTCAACTTCTAGCTTTGAAGACTCCTTGACAGGCCTAACCTGTCCGCAAGGCAGTCCTTTGGTTGCTGAAGAAGTCATTTCCCACTGTCTGTGTTACACTCTCTCTCCCAGTGGGGTCCCCATCCCCATCCCTCCCCACCGTCACCTTCTGTGTCCCTCCGAGGACAGACAGCCAGGTCCAGACAGCCACAAGCACCACATGAACCAGGTCCCTGCTGCATCCCTCCTCGCAGCTCCTTCCTAACCAGCGCCCCTTGGGCCACATGCACCTGCTCCTGCGCAGGAGCAGGATAACAACCTGCCCTATCCACCCTCCTTACTATGGCAAGCCATGAGACAAGTCCTCTGTCAGCACTTACATGTGCTTAGGCGTCTATCTTCCCTGGGTAAACGAATTTGGTGGAGGGCACAGTGGCATATCCTACCTCACTTTGTAACCAGAGCTCCTTACAGCCATCTAGTTAAACCAAAAGAACAAAACTGCTAGGACAATTATAAATGACAGAAGCTTAAATACCCAGAGCATCTTTATGAAACCTGAGATGCTCTTGTTTAAGTACTCTGACAATTCAAAAAGTGCGGATTTTTTAATGAAAATCAGATTTAGCAAGTGATTAGCAGAGTAGTTCTCATCACCTGGTACTGCAACAGCACAGCGTTTCTCCAAGCAGAGCAAGGATTAGCTGAGAGATGTTCCTAAGAACATCCAAAAAAGGCACATTTAAGGTAACATGCACCTTGGGAGAAGCTCCTGGGCAGGGGACAGCAAGCATGACTCAGATTTGTCCAAGCCCACAGGACGCGTACGGGCTTTGCTGCTGGAGCCTGGCTAAGTCTAGGTGAGACACGCCCGGAGCACCATCTGTCACGGCAAGTCTCACCAGGCAGAGCATCTGTGGGGCTGTCTTGACACGTGGGCGTGGGATGAGCCAGGAAACGTGCATGCTAAACCCAGGTGGAGGGCACTTGCTGCGCTGCAGAGCACGGGGGGTTCCTCCAGGTGCACCGCTGGCCGCTGCGCTGCCAGAGCCGTGCAGGGGCACGCGCTGCGGGCGGCCCACTCTCGCACAGGGGAGCGGGGAAGCCAGCTGCACCGCGGTGACAGCGGCTACTTACGTTGACAGACTCCTTGCCGTTGTACTTGACACGAATCCTTGGCTCCTGGATCACATCCAGGTTGGACCCGGTGACCGTCAGAGGCGTGTGTCCGCTGCAGAGAACGAGGAGACACCGGATTAACGTGTTTGGCAGGAGGAGCTGAGGCGACATGCAGAGACCGGGCTTGACAATAAGGATGCTTGTTGATCGCAGGAAGATGTTTCCTGCGGACACTACAGGAACCAGGCGACACGGTGGATTAATGCCCCGCGCTGAGCTGCGGGGAGCGGTGTCCCACACCACTCCCACGCTCTGTTGCATTTTCTACTCTCAACTGTGTCCCCTCCTACACAACTACACTGCAAAGCGCTGGGACGAGGAAATGGGACCAAGGAAACCAACCGAGTTGAAACTCAATACATAAGAACAATAAATTAGTCACGGTGTTTACTGATTTACACGGTGACCTTTTTTAAGCAACAAGGTGCTGCATGACAAATGGTACGCGCAGGAAGGGGCCTGTCATTGCCCTGCGCTGAACTCCCCAGGCAGCACGCTGCGGCTGTGCGCAGCGGCAGGGGAGCGAGGAGCACCCTTCCCGTCAGGGCTGGGGAGACCACGAGCCTGGATCCGGCCTCTGAGCAAAGGCTTTCAAACTTGGCTTCCTCTTTCATGTGTTAATTGCAGCAGCACACCCCAAGCTCACAGAAATCTCCAGCCCCGCCACAGCAGAGCCCAGCCGTTTCTTTCAGATCATCTCTACTAGCAACTCTGACAAGCCCATCAAACCCATCTTACCCAAAACATGAAGTGATTTTGAATTTGGGCTCAAAGCGCAAATGTCGTAGAGCCTGTAGAGAGACACATACTTCTTTCATGGGCAATTTTAAAAAATAATTGAAAGTGAAATGAATAGCTGCGTTACATCCCTTTGCAAGCGCAACCATTGAAGTAACACCAAGGGATGAATCCGGCCCAGAGTTTTCAGCGCTGCCTACGTCAGGGTGATGTGACAGTGCCTGCCACCCTGTCCTTAGCAGTGAATCTTGGATAAACAGCACATTTTGATTAGCATCAGCTTTTTCCTTTCTTGGTGGTGGCTGTTTTTGTTTTATTCCAGAACTACAAGAAGGAGCCTTTAATGAGCAATTGTGCACTTCTTCAGCAGATGGAAGTGATCTTGGGGCTTTATTCGTGCTCCCAAAATCTCGGTGCAGACTGCTATTGCTGTAATTGCCTTGGTAATTACAACTACTTTAATAACTCTGGACCTGATTTTCCATCTCTGTAAACGCAAACGCTGCAGACGTCTAGCGACGACAAATCCAGGACCCTGGGTAGGCTGTGCGTTTCAAAATAGACCCTCTTTTGTCCTTATTGAGCGCACCCTGAGAGACAAGACCGTGTCAGGTCTGGTGAGTTAGCTCCTCTCCTGCTGGAAGAGGAGCTGTTGTTAGAGCTTGGTATTACCTGGCAATGCTCCACTCAGGCTCGATGTGCTGCACTTTCGGATCGTCGATGTACTCAAACAGCAAGGTCCTCTCGAGCTGAGCCCGATCAACACTCACTGAGACGTGAACAGACCCCAGGCCGTGCGCGGACGGGGCAGATACACACACAATCTCACTCATGGATCGCCTGCGTGAGAGAGAGACAGGGCAAGCGTTAGCAGGCAGCCACAGCACGGGGACGGAAAGCAACCCCAGGTCCCCGCCCCCCCCCCCGACCTGCCACTGTGGTGGGGGTCAGGTGCAGCTCACAAACAGACCGAATGCTCAGTTAGGGTCACTGCTCCAAAACCCGCCAAGAGGACGAGTGCCAGGGACCGGTCTGTGGGGGGATTCACTCACATGCAAGGAGGACTGGAGCCTCGTGCGAGCCGAGACTCCTCCTGCCTATCCAGAGAAACTCAGGCTCCCTGAAATTACACTTCTTTGCCAAATTAAAGCCTCCTGCATCTCTTTGTGAACCCGCTGCCTTCTGTTGGGCGTGTGAAAACAGATGGCTGCTTTTTAAATGGGACGCATAAGCTCATTCAAAAGCCAAACCTTGCCCTCCCCGCCCACCGCGCACACAGGTCCTCGCGAGCAGCGCGGCAGACCCAGGGAAGGGGCCAGCCTCACTCGCGGAGCGCTTCCCACCGTCACCGCCGCGGCTTCCTGGCTTTGTTCCCCCATCTCCCTGCAAGAGCAGGAACCACCCCAGCTCTTGGTGCTGGGTGGCTGAACACGACAGACCATGTTCCTCCATCAGAGCCCCAGAGACCGTCTAGGTGGCAGGTTAGCCATGCGCTTTCAAAGCGCAGAAAACTCAGTCGCTGGATGGAGAAGTGGATGAGCAGCGCTGAGGTTCCCACTTCAGAGTCACCATTTGCGCTGCTTCCGCTCGCTGCAAGGACAGAGCCACCCATAACTGCATCGCTCCACAGCGCATCCATGACAGTGCCAGACTGACATCCCTGGAAACCCAGTTTCTCTGCTTGTGCGGATATGCACGGCATTGGCAGTTCAAGTCTCACCTGCCCAAATCTGCATCTCAGCCCACATCTTGGGGGCAGAAAGGCCATGCTGTTTCCCTGGCTCATTTAGTTTGTGGCTTCTCTTCTACCACACAGCGAAGACAACAGGCAGATCTTCAATATCTAGCTGCCATTTTGGTACTCACACCCCAAATCGACATCTGTGCACATTCAGTCTTCAACTTCCCCACCCTCTTCAGAGGCTGCGTAACTCTAGAAGCACCTGAACATCTGACACGCAAGCTCAACCGTGACTACTGCTCTGCTTCCGGCAAGTTTCTCCATGGGAGCAACGTGAATGCTGTGTGCATCCTTACGCACTCCCCGCCTTCCCAAGGAGTCGGGGCACATTGCAGCACCGTGGTTTTAGGAGGGTATCTAATGGTAGGTACCACGATGCTCATAGCCGCCCACCTCTGCACACCAACCCAGCACAACAGAGAGAACAGAAACAAACTTCCAAAATATTTGAAACAAACTGGGCTGACTGCTTGAACGGAAGCAATTGTGTGTCTAACCCTTCCCACCTTCTCACTCTCCTTTCATCTCCATTGCTCCACTTCTCCCTTCCTCATCTTATCCTTGCCCTCCACCCAGGTTTCGTTTAAGCAAGGAGGCGTCCTTGCGTGAGGAACGCTTCTCCCCATCGCGCCCACCGACTCGCGGAGTGCTGCCATGCCTGTCGGCACGGCCGGAGCTCCTTGCCTCCCCGCCGGAGCATCGCCGGCACTCTGGCCCCGCTCGCTGCCAGGCATCGCGGGCTCTGCTTAGCTCTGGCGTGAGATGCGAAGTGACGCCTCACTGCTGGCAGAGTTACTCCGAGCTCCCTGTGATCAGCTAATTAGCTTTCTGTGCTATTATTATGTCGTCATGGTGAATCTACCCACTCCTCCGATCAGAGACAGGAGAATAGGGGAAGCTGTAATTAGAGTGAATCTCATTAGAAACTGCTTCATCTAATCAGGCTCCCCCACACCCTCTATACAACTGAAGTTCATCGCCTCAAAACAGTCCAAGCAAAGCAAAGTGCACAGTATGACCCCACATGAACGATGGTGTCATTTATATACCGCCACTTCTTTGTTTAAGCTTCTGCTTGCCTGGTGTAATTAGAACATACAGAGAACTCAAAAGCGTTCCCAGTTTCGCAGGTCACTGTCTCCAGGTTGCCTGAATATAATCATATATTTAAGAGATTATATTAGAGGACTAATTCTGCCCTCAGGCAGGCTTGCAAGCTGCTTCCACTGATGGTAACAGTTACCTGTGTGCATCCAAGGATGCAATCTGGCATCTTTGCTCTGGATACGGAAATATTGACAAATTAGTTATAACAATTAGCACCTGAGAGCTCACTCACATGTGAAGACCTCAAAGACCATCTCCTGAAGCACTCTAGGCAAGTCCAAATCACCCTCCCATTCCTGAGATGGGGAAATGGGATATGAGGCAGGCCAGTAACATGCCTGGGATTTATGAAGCCGGGCTGGGACCTGAGAGCAGTATGATGGTTGATGCCTTTCTACGCTCTCAGCTGTGATTCACCCTCATCCGCGTTATCCAGCGTGGGAAGCCTGGGTTCCACTGCGGAGCATTTCTACCCCAGCCCCAAACCTGTGCCACCATCCGCCTTGGGCTTCTCCAGCTCCCAGGGATGTTCAAGGACTCCTGAGCGCAGAGGACTCAGGAGAGGGAATCAAGCACAGAAAAGGAAGTATAAAAGAAGCAACAGAAGTAATCACCATATCGAATGTTCTTCAGTTCCTATTTTGTCAGCTCCACAGCCAGACACTAGAGATATAGCAGGAGAGCTGAGGAAGTCCATTAAATCCTTCCTCTTTATTAACAGGCTCTTCATAATCCATCCCTTTCCAGCTACACCATAAAATGGGAATCAAGTTTTAGCCATTTTAGCTATTCTGAGGCTGACAGGAGAAATAATTGCTGATATTCAGCATTTTCACCAGCCTCCATATCACATTCTGGGTTTATCTGGTCCCATGACAAGTGCCGGGAGAGTCAAGTCCCGGCCCAGTCCTGCAGTGCTCGGGGGAACGGCGGCAGGTCAGCGCGAGAGCTGCAGGGTACAGCTCACTTGACATCAAATCTTGGCAAAGACTAGCACAGCAACTTCAGTTCTCTGCCACGCTTGCCCTCCCCGAAACGGTCTCTCTCCTGACTGCAGCGGAGAGGTTAATGAATGAGAGAACCCTGAGACTCGGATTAACCAAGGGCTGAAGATGGACACAGAACTATCATCGCTAATATTTGAACATGCTCCCCTGTTCAAACATTCACAGTTCCCTTATCTGTGAGTGCCTCAGTCTTCCTGACGAGAAATGCATCTCCATGGGTCTCTGCACGCCCAGAAACCGCCTCTGTTCCTTCTGGGAGGCCTAATCTACAATTTAAAAAGGCAGCATCTCTTCACACATCGTGCTGCTTTGGTGCCCCATCTCTCTTTCCCAGCTCTGCTCTGGCCCTCCTCCCAGCTGGAGTCTCTTGACACTCCTGAAACGCCCATTTATTCTGCGCGGGACATACAGAGATCATTCCTGGCATGATCTGTGCGTGGGTCGTGCTCAGCTACGCACCCGCATCTGCAGTGGGAAGTGTGTAACCCTCAGTGCATCAGGTGCGCCTATGGACTGTTATAGCACATGGATGTCTATGTGATACATATAGATGTATAGTGCATTTATCTTTTTGTTTGTTTGTTTTTAAACTAAGCCCCCCCGCCAAACCATTAACCCTACAAATGTCAACTCTACATTCACACTGCTGGGTAAAAAGCAAATTTGCCATAGAAATCCCAGGGGAGATTTATGGTGGTGTAAGTTTCTTAGCAAGTGTGAAGATCCTTGCTCAGCTCCCATCACTCAAAAGCCCACCTCTTGCTCATACAATTTTAATTTTTTGAGATACCTGCAGCAGTGGCTGCAATAAAGGTAGCGTAAGCTGTTGATCTGTGAAAAGAGGAACTTTTCACAGTCAGAAGTCACTGGACTTCTCATAAATGTTACGTTTTCTTCAGAGCACACCTGGTCTGGGGGGAAGGCTCGGATGACTAATATAAAGATTTTACAATTGCACTGATGCTTGCCTGAGATTTTTGGAACAGTCGAAATTATAATGCATTAAAATGAAATAACGGACAGTATTAACATAGATGCAACCAATTCCTTGCCAAGCAAGGTTCAGTCACAGTAAGACAGAAGATGACCTAAAGGAATAAATAACAAAATGGGAGCTTGCAGGGGTTCCTAAATGAATTTTTGCTGGGGCTGCACGTTCAGCCACAGCAAATACATGATGGCTGCAGTTCAGTCAGTCAGATACCCGAGTAACGGAAGCGTGCGTTCACATAGCGTCCGCACGTAGGAATAGCTGGCTTAAAGTCCCAGGATACAGAGCAGGCAAAGGGATCAAGCACAGCCCGGTACTTAAATCCAACCCGCCCCCAGGCACGCTTGGCTCCTCTTACCCGTAGAACTCGCAGGTCTGGTTTCCCAGGGACACCGACACGCTGCTGCCCGCTCCCAGGTAATGGCCAGTGATGGTCACCATGGTGCCTCCCGACTCCGGGCCGCGACTGGGATTCAGAAAACTTATTGATGGATTCTTGAGAAAGAAAAGAACAAACTCAGCGCTCCTGTCTGCTCGGAGCGGAGCTCTCCGCGAACAGCTACGCACGGGTCACAGCCGGGGACAGCAGGAGAAATACCATCCCACTGAGTACGTGCACTAAGCAGGAACACCCTTTTCATAAAGGAAAAACAAAATGGAGATGGGTCCTGCAAATCTTGCAAACAGGCTAAATTTCCAAACCACGCTTCCCAATAATATTTTGAGGGCAGAGTCTATGTCCCATTGCTGATGGGAAGACACCTCTGGTGTGTGCACTTAGACCCCTTTTGACACGTTATCAGTGATATTATTGCAGAAATGCCACCTCTTTATCCTGCCTTGCAGCTGCGATAACTATTTATCCCCCTTAATACGTTTTGCAAAATGCAGGTACCTTTTCATTTGTTTTCAATCAGTGGATATAACCAAGTTGTTTTACTAATGCTTTCACATTACCCTCCTTATGATTCTCATCTGCAAGCTGGCCGCTTCCCAGCTCCGCTCCCTCGGTACCACCTGCTTGGCAGCTTAGTGACTTTGTGCTGTTTTCTCTACTGCTTTCAAAATGCAACACGTGTTTTTCTGGGTGTCACAGCATTTGCCAAAGTGGTTTAGACCAAAAGCCTGTTTGACTCTGACTCCTTACTCCTATGCTGGCCTGAACAGAGCAGAGCAAAGCACACAATCCACCCTGTTGTGGATAATTATGGAATAATGTTGCAAGAGGGAAAAATTCCTCCTTCAGCTGCCTGTGGTCAGCTCATAGCCCTTACCCTCGTTGTTACACCAGCAATACCTAGACAATATGAACGTCAGCGGCGATGTTTACGTTATACAGGCTTGGGAGCATTTGATACAACAAAGAGAAGTGATTCCGAGACGGAAAAAAACTCCAAAGGATGTTCAGTACATGCCTGCTCATCAAAAAGCACTGTTAGCCTACAGCCCCATCCCGGTGACCCTTCCCAGGGCGAAATCAGGAACAAGCTGCAGTACTGTGAATTGTCCGGGGGGCAAGAGCCCACTGCCAGCCTCCCTCCTCCTTGACGTCCTGGCACCGGTGACAGTCTGTCCCGAGGAGCCCAGCAACCGAAAGGAGCATTTATTCAGCACTTCCATTAGGTCCAGCACATTCACATACACAAACCAGTGAACAGGGCTGCACGCACCCTGAAAAGCGGGGTCCTCCTCTGCATTCAAAGGAAATTATTAGCGCCTCCTGGCTACAAGCACCTGACGTTTCTGGTGTGGACGACTGAACTGAGTATCACCTTGTCTAAGCATGACAATCCTTGGAAATTCAAGGCACTGCCAAAAATACAAAATCTGACTGTAACCCCAAGCAGTCTTTCTTGTAAACAAGGGAATGAGAGAAGAGCTGAGGGTCCATACTAGAGACCTACAAAAGCCCCAAGGCTGGGATGAGGCCTGCGCTGGATGAGGATATGATAGCTAAATAAGACTTTTCCATCTTCAGCTTATGATTTGGTGATAATTATGACAGATTTACAGATCTGAAGTAACTCCAAGGTTCCACCTCTCCAGATAAAATGGGTGTAATTAAGGCGACAGCATAGATCCTGCGTGGTGTCAGCCATCAGATGAGCTCACTAAGGCATGAACCCTCTCAGGGTCAGAGCAGAGCTCTGCTTTAAGGTACCAATCAATTTTACTACTGACTTTAATGGCAAAACCCAGCCGTAATGGAATTTGTGGCGGCGCCAAAGAGAAAAATAGAGGCCAAATAAAAAAGGAAATGATGTACTAGAAGTTTTAGATGCCTGAGAAAAAGAAACGATAACACGGGTAAGTGCTGAAAACAAGGAGCAACATTGCAGAGAATGATAATGCTCAACATATGTTTAGCGGGCTGCTGCAAGGTACTACTCCAAGATTAATCTCTGCAATTACCTTCCACTGGCTCCTGATTATTACTTAACACAAACCATGAGAGCATTCTCTTTCGTGTAGCAAGAGAATCTTTAAATAACAGCCAATCTGGTGACTATGGTATACAAAATAGGATTTTCAGATCAACATAGCATTTGGCCTGCAACATGGTCTGCATGACTCTGGGAGCTAGGCAACGGGCCTGCGAAGGCTCCAGATCAGCCAGCCCAGGTCCCCTTCGTTTTTCACCCAATCCTAATGGTGACACCTGAGGTCTGGTCCTGGCTTTGCAGCAACTCATCATATGCCATTAGCAAATCACCTCCCTTTTACAACAGTGACTATCTCAAGGATTTGTTTATTCACCTGGCGTCTACTTTTACTTGCTAGCACGCTCAGGCATACACTTAACTTCAATCAACTGCCTGATCAGGTGCCTTGCCACGTCACAGCTAGGCCATTCATTTTATTTGCCTATGGAAAGGGGATTATAACAGCAGTTTCTTAAGACATGGCTTTTTCATGGAAAACGAAAATTTCACAACCTAAAAGTTAATAAACATTAAAAACTTGCACCTGTGAACTCTATTCAGCATTTGCCAAGGGCTTTCCTCGAGTAGGATATGTGACAGAGAGCAGAGGAGTGCCCTGACTGCCTACCGTATGCAGGAACCAGACGTTACTTTCAAGTTTGGACTCTGCTAACAGCCTTACGGCGTCCCATTATTTTGCACCATTGCTACGTTGTTGAAAAAATGAAATCCCAGGGGAGGGTGGTGCTTACAACGCTGATAGGACAGCAGGGGCTAGCCTGATTTATCTCTCAATTAGTTTACAAATTGCGGACAATTGCTAAGTGCTGGCACTTCACTGCATACACAGATTCCACTAAGCACAAAATCAATGCGACTGGATGAAGTGCCCTGTTTAGGCAAAACCGGAGATACGAGAAACTCCAGCTGCGGCTTTTAAGTTTATGAATCAAAAGGCTGCTAATTAAATAACAGAAGGAAGTTTCAATCACTCAAGCAATGGAAATCCACCAACTCAAAGAGCAACTCTTCATTAAGCAGACAGATAAAGCCTACAATGAATTGGCATCCTTCGGGGGGGAAAAAAAAAATTAGGGAATATTTGGATGCAGAACTACCCTTCCATCCCAAAGTGCATCATGGGGAAAAAATTAAATTTAGAGACACAGAAACTAACTCAGATACGTTTAGGATTCACAAGCACTTGATTAATAATAAGGTTCTAGTCTGGCCTCAATATCCGAACTGCAGGAAGATCGTCTCTGCTGCTCGCTCTCCTTTGGTGTGCATTTTTGTGCTCTTGCATAGAGACACATTAAGCGTCTGCTTGCACGTACACGTACGTAAAGAAAACATCTTCAAAATCAGCAAGAAGCAACACAGCAGCTTTCTCTCAATTAACTAGGTCCAAAGTAACAATATTCCTTTATTACTCTTCCCTTCTCAAGATAGAGGAACATCTTGAGCATAGACTCCAATTCTTGGACAAGGCCATGCACATTAAGTTCACAGTACAGCACTAACTTATGCTCGACGTAATGCTCCTGCTCAGAGAACAGTAATACACTTTGCAAGCAGTAACTGAGCCTAACAATACGAAGAAGATTATCACTATATTACAGGTGCAAAGCTGGGCCAAAAGTCGTGGGAACTCTGGCTCCTAAATCCTCTTTATGGGCTGCAGACCTCCTCAGCCCGCGCGAAGGTGGGGCTAGCCGGCTGGGCCAGCAACGAACGGCTGGTGCAACACCACAGGGAAAGCACTGAAACAGAGGGCAAATTTGGGATTTTCGCCTGGTGCTGAACCCTGTCCCCTTGACACGAACACCTGCAGAGCAGACCTTGCGGCGGGGGCCCGGCCCGGCCCCGTCGGGGTACTCACCACGAACACGTAGTGCTGCGCCGACTTGGCCGTGAACTCGGGCTCGCACTCGCCGATGCAGAGGAGCGCGGGGCCGGAGCTGATCCCCGGCAGCGCCTGCCCCATCTCGCACACGATCCTGCAAACAGAAAGGCCGCAGTGAGGCTCTGGCCGCAGGGGCCAGCAGCGCCCCGCCAGCCTCGACACGGGGGTGTGGGTCTCCCCAACCCTTTAACTTTGATATCTGCCTCTTTCCTCTTTGGAAGAAGTTAATTACTGAGTCTATTTTTATCTCGTGCAGTAACTTAAAGGAAAAAAAAATCAAAATTAGACATAATTATTACAAGCTGTAAACTCCAGAGCAAAGCAGAGCACTAATGGCAATATATTAGCCAGTAGCAAAGTGAGTGCGAAGTCCTCGGAGTAACAGATGAGTTCATTAAGCGAACAGCTCGCGTGGCGGCCTCCCAGTTAATCAAGAACGGAGAAGCCTGCTAGGGGGTGACGGAGGCGGACGCGGGGAGG